CCTGCTCTCACCACACTCGTCCCCCCGTCAAATACGTGCGACTGAAGTCGGCTTGATCTACTTGGTGCAGGCGTCATCGTTGGCTTTTCTCGCTGTATCCATTTCTGGAGCTCGCTGACGTTCACGCGCCTCTTATTGTTCGCCATTGCGACTGTGTCTGCGTAACCCCATCTCGAAGTGACCATTTATGGTCCTTCCCACTTTGGAAACTGTTTGCCTGACCCTGTCGAACATTCGTCCATACTTCGGTTCACACTTTCATATGCTGCTTTCACCCGACCTCCCAGCAGCGTCCCAAGTAGCAGCTCCATCGCTGACAGATCTTGAACGCCACTCAACTGCGCAGAAGCCTTGAAGTCCCGCCCGAAGATCCATATGTCTCCATCAAAAACAGCAGGGCATAGGCTTTCCATTTGTCGGTAGGCAGCGACACCAAATGTAACAACAGAAGACAAGGGCCAGGCAACAGATCGTTTTATTACGAAAATCAGCACGTATTTATACATATTTCACATACATTATTATAGACAAGCGCAGTCATCTGATTGGTTGTTTATAGGCAGATAAACGCAGGCTTCTGATTGGTTGTTTCGGGATTCCTTGACAAATAGAGTTCTCTATCTGCGAATCATATTATGCCACGTTAACTTTGCTGTGATTGGCTGTTGACTCAGCCTTGTTCATATTTTCTCACGGCCCATATTAACGTGGCTTAGTGTCAACCAATCGGCTAGCAGCCTGCTCTCACCACACTCGTCCCCCCGTCAAATACGTGCGACTGAAGTCGGCTTGATCTACTTGGTGCAGGCGTCATCGTTGGCTTTTCTCGCTGTATCCATTTCTGGAGCTCGCTGACGTTCACGCGCCTCTTATTGTTCGCCATTGCGACTGTGTCTGCGTAACCCCATCTCGAAGTGACCATTTATGGTCCTTCCCACTTTGGAAACTGTTTGCCTGACCCTGTCGAACATTCGTCCATACTTCGGTTCACACTTTCATATGCTGCTTTCACCCGACCTCCCAGCAGCGTCCCAAGTAGCAGCTCCATCGCTGACAGATCTTGAACGCCACTCAACTGCGCAGAAGCCTTGAAGTCCCGCCCGAAGATCCATATGTCTCCATCAAAAACAGCAGGGCATAGGCTTTCCATTTGTCGGTAGGCAGCGACACCAAATGTAACAACAGAAGACAAGGGCCAGGCAACAGATCGTTTTATTATGAAAATCAACACGTATTTATACATATTTCACATACATTATTATAGACAAGCGCAGTCATCTGATTGGTTGTTTATCAGAAGTTAGGCAGATAAACGCAGGCTTCTGATTGGTTGTTTCGGGATTCCTTGACAAATAGAGTTCTCTATCTGCGAATCATATTATGCCACGTTAACTTTGCTGTGATTGGCTGTTGACTCAGCCTTGTTCATATTTTCTCACGGCCCATATTAACGTGGCTTAGTGTCAACCAATCGGCTAGCAGCCTGCTCTCACCACAGTAGTACATGACGTAATGCGTAGATGCATTCTGTCTAACAGTTACAAGACACAGACAGAACATCTGTCTCATATAGATTTGTTGGTTTTTAACACTTTTCTACGTGATATCTGATGATATTATATAGTTGGAGGCAATCAGAAGGAATCCTTGGACCTAGGTTTCGTGCTAGTTGGCACTCATCAGAAAAGCGTATCTGCAACCATGAAAAAACTCGTATCCCTTCTGAGATCCGAACCCGCGTCACTCAGTGCTGCAGTTAGAGGCGTTACCACTGAGCTATTCGGGCTCGCGACTGACCTCCTCTGGGACTGTAGTGGGTATTTTGATTGGAAAATAGTAACTAGTGTAACGTGTCTAGTCCTTTCCTTGGTGCAGACTGAATTCTATCAGTCAGGTTTTGCAATGTGGCCACCATTCTAGGTAGCTCACCATCACGGTGCACTTTGACTGACTGACCGATGGAATTCAGTCTGCATCAAAAAAAGGACTGGACACGTCCCACTAGTCACTAGTGTCCAATCAAAATACTAGATGATTTCTACCTGAAATAAAAGTTAATCTGAGGTCAAATAATTTTCTATTAATTCATATAAACTCTGATCAATAGTTCAACAAACATTGATCGCCGAGTGAAAAGTTATCACGGAATTACTCAACGGCTAGCTGAAATACTGGGACCAGTTAGAAGGCAAGTATCAAAGTTTTCCATTGATGATACGTTTAAACTTATTGAGAGTATCGAAGATTATAACGTCTCAGACAAAGTCATATCCTCATTACATGTGACTTCTTTATTTACTAATGTACCCCTCCCTCCCCCCCACACACACGAAAATTGTCTGCTATATATTCTGATTATATTGGTGCACATAGTTTAGACATAAGGTTACCAACAATCCTCCTCAAAGAACTCCTCTGGAGATGCACGTCCAATGTTCAATCCACTTTCGATAGTGAGATTGTTAGACAGAGAGATGGCATTGTCATGGGATCACCCCTGGGTCCCTTGCTGACTGATTGTTTTATTACAAAGCTTCAAAAATCTCAACCTAGTCAAACCATTGATCATTTCGACGTTTATGGAAGATACGTAGACGAAAATTTCGTTATATCTGCAGTAATAATGAAATTACTGATGATGTGCTATGAATAACTGCCATCCTTCTTTACATTTCACTATAGAAAAGGAATGTGAACTTAGTATTTCGTTTCTTGACGTGTGCCTTAGCAGAGGTAATGATGGATCTCTCAAAAGATCCATTCATCGGAAAAGTACATGGAACGGACAACTAACTAATTTCTATAGTTGGGTGCCTGTCTTTAGGAAAAGGGACCTAATTCACCCGCTCTGCTTTAGGATAAAAAAACATTTGTAGTTCTGATTGCGTTGACTTCTTAAAAGCTACACTCGCAGAAAATGGTTACCCTAACCGATTTATTAACAGCAACATGAAAGATAGGCAGTCTAAACCAGTCACTGACTCAGTTCCAAAGAAAACCTTATTCATGAACTTGGAATTCAAAGTTGATGAAGCCTCAAATATGCTCAAAAATCGTCTCACTAAATCAGTCAGTAAGACGTTCTTTGCAGCAAATTACATATGACGTTCTCGAGTCACAAATTGTTCTCTACCTCTATAAAATATAAGCCCCATCATCTGGCCGCCTCCATATGCATCTATCAGTTCACCTGCTCTTGTGGAGCAAGGTACACTGGCCGTAGTCAGAGGACGCTTTCCACGTGAATACGAGAATATACTCCAACATGGTTTTACAAGGTAGAAAGGAAGAGTGTGCGAAGCTCTATTCCAGAATACCTAATCGACTCCTATTACTCTGCCAACCCTGACCATGATTTTAAGATCATAATATATAGAATCTATGCTAACTTGCTGGCCGCGTTTTCTTCGTTACAGACTTCTAAAGACAGTGGAGGCCTTGGCAATTCATGACTTTAAGCTAGAGTTTTGTGTACAAAAGAAGTATGTACAAGCCCTACTTCTGCCTTGGACGTAGAGTGACAGATATTTATTTATTTATTTTGTTTATTTAGTTATTCTATGTACTTCTCCCTTATTACTACGATTATTATTATTATTACTTTTCTCACTCTGAATTGTTTCCCCTTGCCCCATTTGTCATTCTAAATCCAAAATTTTTATTTTTATTTTCACAATAGTGAATCCTATCTTATCAAATCTCACATCATGTTATGTAACATTTTATATCTGCCTACTAATCTTATAATTATGTACCTCTCTCAAAAATCTATACACCTTATGTATTATTCCATATATGACATTAATTATTTTACCACTTGACATTTAACTATGATTATAATCACAAATATTTTAATTGCATTTCATACTATCATTATTATTTCATGTGTTCACACCTATGATTCGATTCCCTTACCGGATATATATATATATATATATATATATATATATATATATATACGATTGTACAGTTTGATAATAAATTCGTTGAAAAGAGTCTCTTCTTCGCTGAATATTGTTTTCTTAATACATAAAACTTGAATAATACGCTTCATGATGAGTTTCGTATGGTATTATTTTCAACAAATTATGTATCAATCCTCTATTTGTTGACACCACTATCATTATTCACACTTAATTTCAGTTATGATTTGGAAAAACTGGATAACATCTGCTAGTTACAACCATGCCATTCTAAGTTTCCAGACCGTAGATGTTACGAGCTTCCTGGAATAATTTGAGCACTGAGTCAGATTGAATCATTATAAATTATTTAAAATAATCCCAGCGTATTTAAGAAAAAATCAGAACAAGATTTTTCTGAACTTTTGGCTGCGTAAGCCACAGCTTCTTCACCAGCAGAATTATTCGGATTTTATTAACCAACAACAAAATATATAGTCAAAAATTACATAAATTGAAGTCACTCACTTTGAATATCACTAGTCAGCATAGATTTGTACCAATAGAAAAGTGTAAACAGTGACCACATATTTGTAATGACCAATGTCAAATTATCATATATGCCTATTTGTCCGTATGAGTGTATGTATGTTGTACTTGGAGTACTACAAGGCTGTTTCGTCCTAGTGTGGGGCACTTCACAGCGCACACCCATGACTTTGTTGGGTATCGAACACAGGACCTTCGGGTTATGAGGTGAGCCTACTCAACACTTAGCCACTGAGACAGGCAGGATCCAATGGCCCATGAATTTGAACTTCTAACAATTCGTGACATTAGCTGAAGATGGTGATACAAATCAAGGATTAATAGAAGTTATAATTCCTAAGACTTTAGACTTCTTCCTAATAGTTGAATGGTCAACAGACTTGCCTCGACATAGTCATGAGTGTGTGCTACTGAAGAGTTTTCAATCAGGACGAAACGGTTATCCAATACTCCATGGCCTTAAATGGTTCTCTAACTGATCTATTAATACGTGATCACACATTAAATATAATGATCATAATAATAATAATAATAACAATTTCAACTAACCAATCTTCAAATGCTTTTTGACATAAATATTGTTTTTCATTTTGTTCAGTTTCTTTTGTTTCCTTCTCTTGTTTTCGTTTAGTTGAAAGTTCACGTTGTTGTTTTATGATTAATTCATCTTTACGTGCTTTCCATATTTCAAATGCCTTTTTTACATTTTATCGAAACAAAATACACTGTGCAGTTAATTATAAATGATTATTAATGAGCATATCTGTCATGCATTTCAACAAAACAGATGCATACTACACAAAAAGAAACATAATTCCACAATAACATTATTTCGTGGATGGTAACTGGTAATGGAATCCAGGATGCATATTCCGTTCTATTTGAGTCCCATAGTCTGAATGCATTTGAAGCTCTCTGTGAGTGACACTCCATCACTTCGGCTCTTTTACGACGGCTGCTGGCTTACAGTCTCAGTGGGAACATCATCACTCACTGGAGAATGCAAGTACATGAAGCTGAGGAGTCCTGATTAGGGTGGAGTGCTCACCTTGGATTTCTTTCATTGTTAGTCACCATCTATTAAATCAAGCCATATTAATTCTCAGCCATCATCGAAGCATCCATACCAGGCGGTTGGCATATCAGCACAGGGACCAAATATCTTGACCAAATATAATGAATCAACGGGAAATACTACAGACCTAACTTAAACAATTATTATCCTGCAACTTGTAAGTGTGATTCGCTCATTGATGACTTAATTTATATATGGCGGATGGCGGAGGAATCCAGAGCATGTGTTTCGTCCCATTCAGGACTTTTCACCTGGAAACATACACACGTGTTTCTCACTGGCACGTAGAACAAGCATCCACTGTTTACAACACCAAAAAGTTCATTCAGAGTTCGTACAATATATGATTCTACTAAAAAAGTGATATTTCTAGAGGAAATTTTCTTTATGACACATTATTCTGAAACTACTAGATACAAGATGTAGACCGTAGGACTTATACATAAGCAGATTCATTGAATGTAATGGTCAACACATTCTAAGTAATGCTTACATTCAACCAAAAATCAGTAGCACTTCATTGACTAAATGTTATTCGATAGTGAGGGGAGTTTCTACTTTCTCTTGAAAAACTCCCACCACAGAATTGTGAATTCATGACATTTGAAAGGGAGGTTCTGACTGGCCTTTTCAGATGATAAAAGTATTGAAAATTAAATATGAGGAAGTGAAAGTCAGTTTATTTTATACATTTGTAACCAAGTTCACTTTTAACAGTTTCAAAAATTTGAGCATTGAGTATATGATATCCATCATCATAAAGGTTTTTGTATTTCCCAATGAATGAATGAAAAACAAAACGATATTGCTGTTTTTACTGACGTTTCGCTATTTAATGCTGCTGCTGCTAATAGCTTTACCAAAGTAGCCTTGTTAAACCGGAATTTAAAAAATCCACTCAGCATATATATATAACAAAGAGTTAAGTCAAGTCTTCTTAGACGAACACACTCTCTGATGTTAACGGAGGAGAAAGAAAAAAAAGAAGAAAAAATATCAAACATTACTGAAACTCTCAAGCAAAACAACTGCCCAGGAAACTTCACCAACAAAATCAACACAGACATTAAGTATGGCCGAAAACGCATTCCGAAAACATAGACATCAACAGTTGTCATTCTGCATAGAGAAGAGACGTCAGACAATATCAGGAGAGTGCTCAATAAGTTCGACATTTGAGTTTTCTTCAAAACATCAGACACACTGCAAAACAACCTTGTCCATATAAAAGACCAAATCCCTAAAAATTCTCTATCTAATTGTGTCTATAAAATAAAATGGTTGGAATGTGATGCGATATACATCGGAAAAACATCGCCAGAGAGAAATGAATATCAGAAGAAATGAACACCGTAGAGCCACATCTGTTCGACCACCAAGAAATCCAGTTGAACTAGAAAACTTGAAAAATCATCGGTCAGACACAGGTTTACCCGCTATAGAATCAGGCCACAAAATTGATTTTGGCAATATTGAAATAATCCAGAAAAACTTCAGGAATCTCAGAGAACGTCTAATATCAGAAGCACTTCATATCAAGTGGAATTCAACTGGTTATGAATTATGGACTAAAACAGAATCTGACCTGGCTACAACATCTCCCTCCCCCATGAAGTGACAATATCAACACGAATGTGGTATGCAAGTTCACTATGTAAGCACACAAACACTGCTTTTTTAATTTCACACACCGATCAAATCCAACAATCTACACTTGGTTTTGTTATCCCTATCAATTGACCAACTTGACACCGAAAAATGAACCCAGACTGACGAACGATCATCAAGTTAGTAAACTTTATTTTGATATCATAACAGACGTACTATTACCCTTGTTATTTGGTTCAGTGATCTTCATTGTTATTTTGACTTTCAATATGTCCTTTTAAGTTGAACTAAGTCTATATTTTTTTCTCACCCCCTAACTCTTTGTTATATATATATATATATATATATATATATATATATATATATATGCTGAGATTTTGTAAATTCCGGTTTAATAATACTTTGATAAAGCTATTAGCATTAAATAGTGAAATGTCAGTAAGAACAATATCGTTTTGTTTTTCATTCATTCATTGGGAAATACAAAAACCCTTATTATAAAGTCAGTTTATATTTGCATCACTGTCAGTATGATAGGTAAACAGGATTCACTTCAGTGGGGAGATCACCTCATGAAACTCTGATTTCCATTTAGTGTGGTGGTATGTGATTCCGGTCATATTATTATTTCCTTGTCCTCTGTAGTCTGTGTTAAATGGCTTCACAATTGTGCATAAGCTTTCACCTCCTCCTCAGACTATCTCCTCCATAACAGTCCTGGACCTCCAAATTATTGTTTCCCACTCGGATACCATTCACAGGCCTAGTGTGTAGTGTCGCCGTCTTATCAGACCACGCAAAATCCAACCTCATTTTGCTTTTGTGCATATTTATCGGGTAACAGGTTTTTGGTTCGTTTGTTGCGCCAGTCACTTACAACCATGTTTCGTTTCATCAGGTCGACAGAATTCAGACAGAAGTCTTAAGTTTCAGACACATTTGCCGGATAATTCCTGACAAGAACGAAGTTTATGTAAAAGGTTTTCAGTCGACTTTCTTGCAAACACTTAAAATATAAGTGGTAAAACTTATACGTATTTTGGCGTTGTTTTGTTTTCCAAAGCTGAGTAGTTTTAACTGATGTTTCTTTGTTCTCCTAGACAACGCATTTACCACTAACTTGAATATAAACCGACTCCTTTCAAAATGTCCCTGAATAGTATAAATAACTTTCCACAACACTCAAAAAAAAATGTTTAATTGAATTTTAGATTTTCGCGTCGATGGGTTGGACTGAAGTGCTTGGTCTCAGGTTGACATGTCGGTTTCTTGTGCAGGGGCTTCAATTTGGGGTTCGAGCCTCTGTGGGGACATCATCACTCACTGAGAAATGCAGATACATCCAGATGACGAGTCCAAAATAGGACGAAATGCGCGTGTTGGATTCCAGTGCTAGTCACCGTCCACCAATTAAATACTCATAAATGTTGTCTAGAAGGACTATGACAGCTTCACATTTAAATCATACAGGACATAGAAGACAACTGCACTAGAAAAGTCCATATGGTCTGCAGGTTCTCTTTATCATTACTAAATCTGAAGTTCTTAGCACTCACACACAATTCAGTCCTACTGTTTAAAGTGTTTCCTTTCAACTGTAAGTGCATAAATGTGTCTTCCGACGTGTGTCAGCAGGTAGTCTTATACTGAATAAAAAATCTCTAATTTCATGATCAATTGAACGCTACATTTTTTTATTGATTTCAAAGAAGAAACCCAAAGAAAGTTACTGGGATTTCATCATGAGTTGATATTGGTTAGAGAACCATTGGAGTATTGGACAGCTGTTTCATCCTGGTTTGGGACTCCTTATCAGTACGCACCCAGCCACCGTGTTTTGAACCCAGGACCTTCTGGTTACAAGGCGAGCTAGCTCGTAGACCATTAAGCCACTGGGCCGCGATCCAGGGGCCCATAATTTCCAACTTCTGACAATTCACGACATAGAGCGACCCCTAGCCAATGTCTTTGGCGCTTATTGGTCCTCACACCCGACCTACTGCACCCTACTGGTCACGACTTCTCACTAGAACCCTAGGTAACTACCTACTTGAATAGGTCAAGTCGCTAGCGACTTGGGGTCGCGCTATGTAGTGAATTGGCAGAAGTTAGAATTCATGGGCTGGCCATTGGATCGGGTCTAAGTGGCTTAATGGTATACCAGCTCGCCATGTAACCAGAAGGTCCTGGGTGCGAACTGCTGAAGAACCCCGAGGTGGGCGGACGAAACAGCTGTCTAGTACTCCCAATCAAATACCTACAAACCAACACTTGAAAGTTACTGGGAATCAGAAATTATCTTTCGATGTATCTTTTCTACAGTGAAATTTAATCCACCGAGTATGGTTGAACAACAAATAAGAAGTTAGGTGAAAGCATCAACAAATATGTCTAATCGAATGGAGACGAATTTGACACACACACACACACAGACTGAGGAGACTGTCGAGTGATATTCTACGTCAAGTAAGGCCTCAAGTGAAACTCAAATGGGAAACGACGAGTTTGATGCGGTCCAAGGGTGATATGAAGGAGATCATGTGAGGAAGAAAGGAAAGCTTATGGGCATGCTGAAAATGACTGCAGTGAACAACAGAGTGAAGTAGTGATGCGTTGCTGAAGCTCGGAAAGAAAAAGAATAATGATAATAATAATAATAATAACAGGTGGAACCAGCTCCTTTCAGACCAGTAGAGTCATGCACTTTCCAAACACAGGAAGTACCCTTACAGAATAAGTCATACACAAAAGTCATATTAATATATGTGTAAAACTTGGGCACTGCGATAGAAAGTAATTCCATATTAGTTTGTTTATTAGATGTATCACACAGTGAGTGAAACAGTATTATTTACTGGATGACAAGGTATCGAGCAAAATTTATTGTGGTTCATAATCATATCATCAATTATAATCACACGACTTTGGAACTTGAGTTTTATAGTTTTCTTTGTCTTCTCCTATTTTTCGTCGTTGGGGTAGGAGAATTTCCCAGATATTTGCCTGGACAGGTGTTGAGTCATTCTTATTAAATGTGTTTGCAGTTGATTCGATAAACAAAGCTTCCGCTGTTATCAATCTCTCCCTCCACCTAGCTGTGACATTAGATTTTAAAACTGTGCGTCGGTGGCACAGTGAGTACGACTCTCGCCGACCATGCACATGGTCTGAAGTTCGATCCCCTGCCGACGCACACTGATATCTATGGTCGGCCTGCAAAATTTGGGCTACCGATATCACATGCGGAAAATTCCAAACCTGTAGCAAAAATATGGTGTGGAATCAAGCTGTAATCAAAAAAAAATCTTATCCCATCCTATTGCATGGTTGTGTGTAATTGCATGTAGTGCTATCAGTGGCTGAACTACTCTCTAGATTTCTTATCTTATTTGGGTCAAACGATCACCAAGTAAATATTACTCTTTCACTATGTGATACATTTAATAAACAAACTTATATGGAATTCATACACAACAGATAACCAAATACACCATAAACATTAGCTTCATTAGAAGTAGAAATAGTAGTAGACAAATAAGTAATCATGCCTTTTGTGAGTTAAGTTTACGTTCTCTTTCTTCTTCAAGTTTCTTTTTCTGTGCTAATTCTTCAGCTTTACGTTTTTTTATAGTATCCAGTAAAATTTGACGCTTATTTTGTTTCCATGTTTGAAAAGAGATTTCATTGGATTTCATTCTTTCCAGTTTCTAATGGGAAAAATAAAAAAAAAAGTTGAAAAAAAACAGTTAGTGTTTCAGTTCAATTTCTCTTCTTTATAAGTTTTAAATTAATTTGAAATGTCATACATACTTAAGTTATAAAGACACAAGTTCAAACTGTTATTGATAATCAAGTGTTGGTTTGTAGGGATTCGATTGGTTTCAGGATTTCATCATGAGCTGACATGAATTAGAGAACCATTGGAAAACCAGCTGGGAGTACTGGACAGCTGTTTCGTCCTAGTTTAGGACTCTTCAGCAGTACGCACCCACCGGGATTTGAACACAGGACCTTCCGGTTACAAGGCGAGCTCGTATACCATTATACCATATTGATAACTTCGCCACGTGGACAGAAATCTTGATAAAAAAAGAAAAGGCTGGGTATGTGAGACTACCGACCCCCATCCCACCAAAAACAACACAGGCATTACTAATGATATAAGTATAAAACTTCGACACTGTGGTAGAATATAACTGCATTATGGATGAGATTTTATTTTGATAAGTCGAACAATATTTTACAGTAATATTAACAGATAACGTTTCAAGCACAAATTATTGCCACTCATAATCATACCAAGGCATTACTCACACAACTTTTTCCTTTATTTATATACATGTGTGGAATCGACCAGATATTTGAATAAAAATCAATGTAGGATAATGTGCATATTTTTTTGTCTTCACGTTCCCAGTGGAACATAGGACTTCAACTAGTGGCTTGAAGTTTCTGTAGCAGTGTTTATTTTTACAGGATGGGGTTGCTAGCCTCATGCCCAACCATTCCTCTTTACCAGGGTTATTAATGCTTTGGCGAGGTAAAGGAGTGCGTCAGTGGCCGGTGATCGACCCAGACCGTATGCATGTTCCGTGAGCGTCCTAACCGCTATGCCATCGACACATTCATTAATAATTATATGAGTGTTATTGATCAATTACAATTAGATTGGAAATAAGACGAGTGTTTTTATAGTCGTAATAAGTTACTAATTAGAATGTTGAGATGAACGTGAATTGAAATAGAATTTTGAGATTATTTATTATCCTCCTGTGATTTGACTGACTGGTGGTAATAATATCTTCCATGCATATCTCTGGTATCTGTGTTGAGTCATTTCTGTTGCATGTGTTGTGTTGGGTGTAGACTCAATGAACCAGGCAGGATTCAGTAATCAATCTCTCTCTCTCCACCTACATAGATTACTTCTGAGATTCTTAACCCTCTCCCACCACCCTGTTGTGTGGTTGTGTTTTTTAATGCATGTAGTGCGAATGCTGAGTTTTTTTCTAAATTACTTATCTTTTCAGGGTCAATCATTCTTCTCTTAGTTAAATTCTTATGTTCTGATAATCTGAGTACCCCCGACCTACTAGTTTGACCTATGTAGTTGACCTAATTCGCAGTGATTGCAAGGTATTTTGTAAATTATATTATTTTGTTTAATTGGGTCAACCCACCGGGTCCTTTAGCCTACAGAGCTTATCTATAATGAACTTTGTTTATTATTATATTCTGATGTCTTTTCATGACTCGAACGATTAGACAGGGTTTTTGGTATGGATATACCTTTGTTATTTTAATGTTGATTAAGTTTTACTGAAAAAGCTCGGATCAGTTTGCCAAACGAAACTTTTGAATTACTGATTTCAATTTCTCTGAGATTTTACAAAATGTCTTGGTTGAAAGTGAGGTCACTAAGTGACACTACTCAGAGAAGTATAAGACAGCTGGAACTCGAGTTCCAGTGCAGTCCCTTAAAGGAGAAGTACAATTCCTTAGTAAACTGGTGACGCAGTCGGTCTCAATAAATAGGTCGCGTGACGTGACCATCTTGGGAACCGGGAAGTTGTCTTTAGTGACAACAGTCAACTGGAATTCCCCTTGGCGACTGAAGAAGAGTTTAACCAACTGGAAGCATCACACTGAAAAGCCCGAAATTCAGAGGTTCATTCGTAAGTTTACAGTTAACCTTCGATTAGGTTCAGATGACGAAACTGGTTGGCAATTTAATTTTTAAAGCTGAATAAACACGTTTAATATATCATTATTATATCAAATGTCTGCATAAGTGTCACCGTTGATTACTACCTTGCTCACGAATAATTTGTTTCCTTTTCAGGATAGTTCAATGGATCTACTTGATGATGGGGGAGGGGTGCGGGCAGATGCAATGCTGAATTCAGATTTCATATTCAAAGACAATCATTCTACTTGTTTCATACATTTATTCCCCTCAATGAATTTGAACAAAGCAAGAACTACAGTTTTTGCTGAATAAAGTACTACCATCTTTTGTTTCGTTGCCTTCTCGTCAGCTGTTTACATTATTATTATTATTACATTACATTATTAAATATATCTACAAAAACTATTTTAACATACTTGCACAGACAGTTCATTTTAAACAAAAATCAATCGATCAATATACGCATACACTAATAATATATATACATATAATATTAATAATGAACACTATTCCCAACAATAACAATCAAACACAATGGAAACTTTTCAGTATTTCGCATTCGGATGAAAGAGAGATGAAAAATATCCAGTTACCAGTCAGGGCAAAGAAAGACTGATAACTGTTGCTTTCTGAACGCACAAATCAGGTTTCAGGCGCTTGATAGAAATGACTGCTTCAGCAAACTTGAGGAGAATTGAGCTATTTTGCCTATTGATAATTTTGAACGACTTTTCGACGTCCACCTCATGACCCGTGTCAGGGAGATGTCTGGAGGTGGCATTGTTTCAAGCATTTGTTCCCTTTAGCCATAAGCTTCCTGTACATGTTCAGAAAAACGTAGATATGCCCTTCTTTCTGTCCTTCCAATGTAACTGCTCCCGCAGATACATGTAAATTTGTATATACAGTTGGAGGTAACATGAGAAGGATATCTATCGATTTTTGATTGCACCAAACAACAAGTTGTTCGATAGACGGGAACGAGGTTAGCTGCAGGATAGGCTATGACTAGTGATGTACTCAGCCTTCTGTTGACCATTGCTGCAATATTTTCACATTTATAATCAAGCTGAACATAGACTGGCTTTTTTCCCACTGTGATTTGTTATACATTTGTGACATCAGATCTTCCATACTTGTTGATGAACCTTTGAGGGTACCCATTGCTCTTCAATATCTTTTCAAGGAACTCAAATTCTTCCTGTAATTTCTACTTGTGTGTATTATTCGCAATTCTAACTGTTCATCAATCCTAAAGAATTAATTTACCTAATTGTTGTTAACTTTTTTTCCGTTAGCCAATAAACATATGAAATATATATATATTTTCATTACGAACCTTTATTTGAATTGCTAGTTATGAGTTGTTTGACGTAAAGAGAATAAGGTAAAAATGATGCGAGTAATGGGAGGGAGAAATTCTGCTGTTTAGGGGGGAAACATGGAGGTAATAGGGGGAAATGTGACAAAAAAAAGGGAACAATGTGTGGTGTCTGGGAAAATGGGGAAAATCTTAGCACTCCCCCTTTTTCTCTCAATGGAGTGTCCTATTTTCCCCGTTTTTTAACATGATTTACCCCGTATTTGTAGGATTGGGCCTTCAGCAGTATGTGCCTTCAACCCCACTGCCGATCAAACCCAAGTTACAGGATGATGCCAATAACTATTCAACTAATGGGATCGAATTCAACAGCCCGCTAATACTTACGCCTTCCAACTTACTGAATACATATCCCACACCAGTGGCCATCAGTTCTGACTGATCTGACTTAAAAATCAATCGAATCCCCGCGTAAGGCAACACTTGAAACATTTAAACAATTTTGAAGTCGTTGAAAAAAAAAGTAGAATCTCACCTCTTTTTCTTTTTTTGTCTCATCAATTTCATTACGTAGACTTGATAAACGTTCAACACGTGCACTTTTAGTTAGTCGATTACACCATGAAGAATAGGCAAGATCACGTAGAATATTGGCATTCAATACTGTGAATTCATCACCTTTATGTAATGGTCTATTGATTGTATTTTTATGAAAAGCTTTTTGATTTGAAATAGAACATGAACTTTTTGATCGTTTCATCATTGAGTTTTGACTGACTGTCTTGATTATAATATCAGGAATATTTTTATTTTTATTATCATCAGTATTAGTATTACGAAGGAGGTTTTGTTGTTCTTTAGATGTCAAGATTGGTATATTGATGATGGAATGGTCAGCTTGCTGACTACTTAGAGAGATATCACAAGTATTTTGTTGACTTGAAATAAAGAGAGGCAAAAAGATCGAGAGAATAATAATCCTCCATGCAATCAAACAAAATCCCTACAAAAAAACCAATACTTGAAAATTCATCTGATGCTCACTAGTGACTGGCCCTATTCAGGCAGTTAACCTGGGGTTCTAGTGGGAAGCCGTGACCAGTAGGGTACAGCAGGTCGAAGATGAGGCAGTAACTCATCGAAGAAGACATTGCGAAGTGGTCGCGCTATGTCGTGAACTGGCAGAAGTTAGAATTCAAGGACGATTGGATCGGGTCCCAGTGGCTCAATGGTCTACGAGCTCGCCTTGTAACCAGAAGGTCCTGGGTTCGAATCCCGGTGGGTGCGTACTGCTGAGGAGTCCCAAACTAGGACGAAACGGCTGTCCAGTACTCCCAGGTTTTCTAGTGGTTCTCTAACTGATGTCAGCTCATGATTAAATCCTCCATGCAATCAAAAAAAACCAATACTTAGAATAATAATAATAACGAAATAAATTATAAAAGAGCATTCATTATTCAATGAGATGAATGTTTCATTACACGTATTGCGATTATTAAGCATCATTTCAACTATACACAGTCAGAACAAATGAGGCTGTTAAAGCCAGTTAGTTAGCCAGTAAGCTAGGATTATTAAAACAAGACAGACCTTCACATCACGATAAGGAACAAGATCCCACTCTTTAATACTGACGTCAAGTCATTGATTCTACAATGGATCATTGACTTGGAGCATATATATATATATATATTATTGGAAGCATTACCAATATACTAATACAAACTTTTATCAACGGTTGACTCAGCTATTAGGATAGTGAAGACAAACTGTCGGAAAGGATAATGACTTTGGCAGCCTGTTTGAATCATTGGGCCACCTTAATTTCAGTTTGATATGATTGGAGAAATCTGAAAGAAGCAGCCTCCTCTACCTATCTACCTGCGAAGCATCGGTTTCAGCTACAGACGGACGAAACTGATCATGATAACAAAGCGAGGATCATTGGGAAAGCAGGCCAAGCTTTCATTACTCTCAAGTCCGTGTGTGGCGATCAACAGCATTCAGCATAAAAAGTAACATCCGGATTTTCAAATCCAATGTAAAACCAGTGCGGCTTTATGGATCGGAGATTTGGTGCCGCGTCACGAAGGCCACTTCGAACAAACTACAGACTTTCATCTACAGAGGTCTTCGCTCAATACTACTCAAGATCTGATGGCCGGCCAGAAACGATCAGCAAAAGGGATCTCTAACGGCGAACCAACACATCAGGAACCGATTGTACAACAAATATGCAGGAAGAAATGGAGGTGGATTGGGTCATACTCTGAGAAAACAAACCATCAATTGACATCACACCTCAAACCATTACTCAAGCAGTGAGTTAGTTGTTCGTCAGTGTGAGTGTGACATGGAGGAGGTTATTCGAAGCGGAGATGATAGCATATGGTCAGATATGAAGCCAGGTGAAGACGTTGGCAGAGAATCCAGCTCAGAGAGCACAACAACTCCATCAAAAACCTTTTTAATTGGTTTACAACCTCTACTGTTGCCCGATTCTGGGGGACGAAAGAAAAATACCATAAAGCAATATTTAATTGTTCAGATCTAACCCATCACTGGGTCACATGATGTACTGAAGATGGCTGTTTTAATTGAAACTCTTGGATGAAGAGAAAAACGTATTGCATAAACTTCGCTGGCTTTTCGACTACTGCGTTACATTTTGCTTATTAATAAAAACTCTCATTTCTGTAAAATTTTATGCCAAGAGTTTGTGGAAACTATCACAATTATTTACCTTTCGAACACTGAATCCAAGAATACAATCTTATTGACAGATAATACATATAACTAACTATTTGGATTTGTGGAATTTTTAAACATAAACACATCTATAATTGTATATATTGTTGGATTTATATGTTCAAGTTGCTCCAAGTCAGTGAGTTTATGGTTAAGATATCATTTTAGTTAACTGTACTGAACTATATTGCATGTTGTCTTATTGTATAGTTGTCGTCGCTTTTTGCCCTTTTTTCTGTGAACTGTTTCCTTTGTTGATGTTGTTCTCATTGTTTGTCCGTTATTTTCTGATTTTGAGGGGAGCAACCCAAAAAGTTGCTTCTCTCTAAACTTTAACTTAATGTAATCATTCTTTTCTCAGGCGTGAGGCTAGCAACCCCACCCTGTAAACAAAATTGCTAAAGAAACTTCAGTATGATGAACCTCTTTGCACCAAAAGAAAAAGTCTGTGTAGGAACATGGAACGTCCGAACTATGTACGAGACTGGGAAAGCTGCCCAGATCGCCAACGAGATGAAAAGATACGGAATACAAGTGCTGGGAATATGTGAGAGCAGATGGAATGGGAGTGGACTCACCAAATTGTCAACAGGTGAGTCAGTGATCTACTCCGGTCACCCAGAAGATAACCACACGCACACCGAGGGCGTGGCTATCATGATGTCACCAACGGCAACGAAAGCCCTGATACAATGGGAGGCGATTTCGTCCAGGATAATGACCGCCAGGTTCAACTCCAAAGGAAGGAAAGTGTCAATCATACAATGTTATGCACCCACAAACAACGCAGACCTCGAGAAGAAAGAAGAATTCTACAGGCAACTACAGGCAACAATGGACAATACTCCAGCTGGCGACATGAAAATACTAATGGGAGACATGAACGCCAAACTGGGACCAGACAATACAGGAAGGGAACTCATCATGGGTAGAGAAGCTCTAGGAGAAATGAATGAAAACGGAGAACTCTTCGCCGACTTCTGCGCCTTCAACGAACTGGTGATTGGTGGCAGTGTATACAAGCACAAAGATATCCACAAGGCTACATGGGTGTCACCAGACGGGCAAACCAAAAACCAAATCGACTTCATCTCAATCTCAAGGAAGTGGAGGCGCAGCCTACTGGACACAAAAGCAAGAAGAGGAGCAGACGTTGGCTCAGACCACTATCTCGTACAAGGGACAATCCAAATCAAATTAAAAGCTTTCAGGGAATCAGGAGCTGCAGATAGACCACAAGCCAAGTTCAACACTCAAAAGCTGAAGGACCAGGCTACAAAGGACATCTTCATTGCAAGCATAAAGGACAAAGCCGAGACACAAATCAACACCAGCGAAAAGGTCAGCGTCGAAAAGCACTGGAACAACTTGAAAACGGTGTGGAGCCAAACCTGCATAGAAATTCTAGGCAGAAAAAAGAGACAGGACAAACAGTGGCTCACTACGGACACTTGGAAACTAATAGAAGAGAGAAGGACAGTGAAGCAAAAGATTATCCAGTGCACTGACGAGCAACAAAAACAGGAGCTGAATGCAAGCTACAATACACTGAACAAAAGAGTGAAGAAGAGTGCCAGGGAAGACAAAAGAAAATATTATGAAACCATGGCAAACGAAGCAGAACAAGCTGCAGGCAAAGGAGACCTCGCCACACTCTACCAAACAACTAGGAACCTTTCGGGCAAACGTTCGACACAGATTAAGCCAATAAAGGACGACAATGGAAAGTCAATCACCAAAGAGGTGGAACAGAGAAAGCACTGGGTTGAACACTTCAAAAGACTTCTAAATCGTCCGCCACCTACAACACGTCCAGCAATACCAACAACGGAAGCAGAACTACCAGTGAACACTGACCCCCCGACGAAATCAGAAGTCCTGAATGCAATCAAGATGCTTAAAGCTGGGAAAACACCGGGACCAGATGGAATCCCAGCAGAGGCTTTGAAAATAGACCCAGAGACAACAGCGGACTTGATGACACCACTGCTGGAGAAGGTGTGGAAAGAGGGCAAAGTACCCGAGGATTGGAAGAACGGATACTTATTCAAACTTCCAAAGAAAGGAGACTTAAGTCAATGTAAAAACTGGCGTGGAATTATGCTTCTGTCCATTCCAAGCAAGATACTAAGTCGCATCATCCTGGAGAGAATCAAACAAGCCCTAGATGAAAAACTTCGTCCGGAACAGGCTGGATTCAGGAGAAACAAATCATGTATTGATCAAATCGCCACTCTACGGATCATCATTGAACAAAGCTTGGAATGGCAGTCACCTCTCTATCTCAACTTCATCGACTTTGAAAAGGCCTTCGACAGCGTCGATCGAGAGGTCATTTGGAAACTACTTCGCTACTACGGGGTCCCATCGACAATTATACACCTCATCCAACAGTTATACGACAATGCTGCATGCCAAGTAATCCACAACGGGAAACTTACGGAAGCCTTCGAAGTGAGGACGGGAGTGAGGCAAGGCTGTCTACTATCACCAATGATCTTCCTGATTGCAATTGATTGGATAATGCGACAGACAACGGCAACCAACGAGGGAACAGGCATAAAATGGACTGACACAAAAGACTTGGAGGATCTGGATTTCGCCGATGATATATGTCTGATTTCCCATAAACTGGAAGATATGCAAGTGAAAAGTAACAAGTTGGCAGAAGAAGCATCAAAGATAGGACTTCACGTGAACATAGATAAAACAGAGATGATGAAGATTCCTAGCCAACATCAACAGCAACAACAACAACAGACAACAATAAGCATAAATGGGAAGAACCTGAAAGAAACAACCTCCTTCACCTACCTGGGAAGCATCGTCTCAACTACAGGCGGAACTGACGAGGACATCAAAGCCAGAATCGGAAAAGCAAGACAAGCTTTCATTACTCTCAAATCTGTGTGGAGGTCAACAGCACTCAGCATCAAAAATAAGATCCGGATTTTCAACTCCAATGTGAAGTCAGTGCTACTATACGGATCAGAGACTTGGCGAGTCATAAAGAGCATCTCAAACAAACTTCAAACCTTCATTAACAACTGTCTCCGCTCAATACTCAAGATCAGATGGCCAGAAAAGATCAGCAACAGGGATCTCTGGGAGCGAACCAATCAGGAACCGATTGTGAAACAAATAGGCAGAAAGAAATGGAGATGGATTGGCCATACGCTGAGGAAACCATCAAGTGACATCACTAGACAAGCCCTCGAGTGGAACCCGAAAGGGAGGCGGCGAGTTGGTCGTCCAAGGGTGACTTGGAGGAGGTCATGCGAGGAGGAGATGAAAGCATGTGGACAGACCTGGAGCAGGGTGAAAAAGTTGTCAGAAAACCGAAGTCAATGGAGGTGCGCAGCTGAAGCCCTATGTTCCTCTAGGAACTAAAGGATACAATAATAAATAATAATAATAAACTTCGCTGAAAATAATGGGTATTATGGCAGCATATTATGCATAATAAAGCTACCGTTATTACTACTGAATATTATATTATATTAGTGTTATCAATCAAATACAATCAGATGGAAGATTAGACGAGTGTTTTTATAGTCGTAATAAGTTACTAATTAGAATGTTGAGATGTACTTGAATTGAATTGAAATAGAATTTTGAGATTATTTATTATCCACTTCTGATTCGACTGACTGGTGGTAATAATATCTTCCATATTTCTGGTATTTGCATTGAGTCACTTCTGTTGCATGTGTTGTGTAGTGTGTAGACTCAATGAACCAGTCAGGATTCAGTAATCAATCTCTCTCTCTCTCCACCTACATAGATTTCTTCTTAGAATCTTAACCCTCTCCCACCCACTCTATTGTGTGGTTGTTTGTTAATGCGGGAAGTGCAATTGCTGTGTTTTTTTTTCTAAATTACTTATCATCGTGGGATCAATCATTATAACCTTAGCTAAATTTTTATGTTCCGCCAATCTGACCACCCCTGACTAGCTAGTTTGACCTATGTAGTTGACCTAATTCGCAGTGATTGCAGGGTATTTTGTAAATTATATTATTTTGTTTAATTTGGTCAACCCACCGGGTCTTTTAGCCTACTGCATAACAACATTGCGTGGCTTATCAAAATAAAATCTTATCTATAATGGAGTTGTACTCTACCACAGTACTCAAGTTTTATACTTATATCAATAACTAACCAAAAACCCTATTACTAAACGAATAAGCATGAGGAAATCAGGACGGATCGTCCGTACACTGAGGAGACCTTCTAAGAGACATCACATTGCAAGCTATTTAATAGGTGAACCGAATGAGAAATAATGAATTGGGATTGTGTCCGTGAGTGAAGTTGGAAGAGATCGCGTGAGGAGAAGATGAAAGTTTATGGGAATTGAAAGGGACAGCTAGAATAGGCTGCTAACAACAAAAGACAATTGGCGATATCCTATTGAAGGTCATTGTTCACTAGAAACACTCAACTGTTATCATCATCAGGATCAACACGAAGAATGCAAAAACACTAGGGAAAATAGTATGTGATTTGATTGTTAACGGTGGCTATGAGAGGAATTAGGGAGAAGCATTTCGTCCACTTGTATTAGTGACCAGTGGATGTACATGCATCTCAGTGTGTGGAGATTTTCACACTGCAACTGGTATCAAGTACTGGCATTGTCAGAAATACAACAGCATTGTCCAATAGGCTGAATTCCATCATTTGAGTTGCATAGTGGAAAACATAAATTAACCAACCGTATATCACCATTCAAATGACTATCAAGCTTTAAAGTGTTGCATAATTATCTAGAATATAAAATGTTAGATAGGTTGTTGAAAATGAATCAAATGCAAGGGGGGTATAGATGTTATATTGATAAAAAAAATTTTAATCTAGATTGCTAATACCTTGTTTACAATATTCTATAATGTACTACTGAAATGTTCATCAGTAAGATATTAATGACTCTTTAAAAAATGGTCAAAAATCACTTATATGAAATTTGTAGTTTTTAATATATACAATCTGAGTTGAAATTTTACCATATGTGATCTGCTTCATGCCACAAATGGTAATCAAGAAAGTGAGCATATCTGCATAAAACTATATACTACTGATTGACTGAGATAAGTAGTTGTACACCGCTCACATCAAATAAAAGTGCTTGCTAGCCACATTGTAGTAATCTAAAACACTGGACGACGCTTTCACTCGTCTGCAGCTCTCTGAACTGAGTCATACTGGGTATACCACACTGATGAAGTTGGCCTTAAATGAGCGAAACGGCCAGCAAACACTGCTAGTCAATGTGATTGATATTTAAACACTGACCTCAATCGTTCAGGTGTATATATAGTCAGAAAATCACTTGCGCTGACGATCAATAAAATTTGCTATAACAAAACACTGAAGGCATTTAGCACTGAGGCGGCTGATTCTTCCATTTTGAATAAAATTTCACTGAAAGATATACTTCGACTTATTCAGCCTAGGAAACTGAGTTGTTAGAAATACCTGCATTCTGGTTAACTAAATAAGTGGACTTTAAAAAAATAGAGTAGAATAGTATACAATATCAGGTAGGTCTTTCGTTGTACATTTCATTCAATTCATGGATAATCCCCATTCAGGCATTAATGAAAACAAAACACATAGATCAACGAAGATTCTCTTTTCAGCGGCGAATTCACTTTCTTAGCTGTACAATCGAAATATATACATATGTTCAAGTATTGGTTTTTGTAGGGATTTTGTTTGATTGCATGGAGGATTTAATCATGAGCTGACATCAGTTAGAGAACCACTGGAAAACCTGGGAGTATTGGACAGCTGTTTCGTCCTAGTTTGGGACTCCTCAGCAGTACGCACCCACCGGGATTCGAACCCAGGACCTTCTGGTTACAAGGCGAGCTCGTAGACCAGCAGGTCGAAGATGAGGCAGTAACTCATCGGAGAAGACATTGCGAAGTGGTCGCGCTATATCGTGAACTGGCAGAAGTTAGAATTCAAGGACGATTGGATCGGGTCCCAGTGGCTCAATGGTCTACGAGCTCGCCTTGTAACCAGTAGGTCCTGGGTTCGAATCCCGGTGGGTGCGTACTGCTGAGGAGTCCCAAACTAGGACGAAACAGCTGTCCAGTACTCCCAGGTTTTCCAGTGGTTCTCTAACTGATGTCAGCTCATGATTAAATCCTCCATGCAATATACATATGTGTTATTTTGTATGTTTGTGTATATTAAGTTTGTCAAACAAAAATACAATTGGTTATGGTTATTTTAACTAAACAGGTGAAGATTGGTAATTAGAGTTACGTAATCCAAAATCAGTCAAGCAAATTAGGTGTTAATGAAATTAGAGTAGTAACAAAGGTGATGAGTTGTCACAAACAGTTGTTAAAAAAGAAGTTATGTATTAATATGAATAGTTTGATGATTGAGCTTTACTCAGGATACGCATAAGAACAAAGTAGATAATACGAAATTACGTAAGATTTCTAAATGAATAGAAGAACTATAAGCAATTAAAGAACAGGCAAAGAAACAAAATTAAGTCATCAACATCAAAAAAAGTTGTTACCATGACAGTAGAAGTGATTTCTTTTTTATTTTTTGATTACAGCTTGATTCCACACCATATTTTTGGTACAGCTATGGAATTTTCAGCATTTGATGTCGTCGGCCCGAATTTCGCAGGCCGACCATAGATATTGAGTAATTCTCTTTTGCATACGCAGCCCCGGTTTTTCTATGTGAATGGCCAGAGCTTCAGCGATACAAAGAAGACAGAACCGTATTGCCTTTGATAGATTATTCTTGATTCTGTAGATTACTTTGAAGCAAAAGGCGTTTGTTGAGATGGAATGATCAGCGTTAACTAGGTGTTCAATTATCGCACTCCTTATTGCACCACTATTGCCTTTTCACAACCATGCTGGCTGGATAGTGTTCTTGAATCCTCTTGGACAGGGTGAGCGTCGAAAGACCGATGTAACTACACAGCAGCAGGTGAACTGATACATACGCATAGAAGTAGTCAGATATGGGATCTTCTCCTTGAGGCTTCTGGAGTACACTATTCTTAGCGTTGCTGCAAAGAATGTTCTTCTCAGAGATGATGTGATCCTTCTCTTGAGAATATCCCTTGCTAAATCTCCCTTGGACTCCAAGTTCATATAGAGTTATCCTTTTAGGCGCTATTAAAGTTTCGTTTCTCCAAATTCTTGGTTTGATATTTTTTTTCGATAAATCTTATTGGGTATCCATTTTGGATGAAGATTTCTCTCAGAATATCTAATTCTGTTTCCAGAACGTCAGGACTACAAATGCGTCGGATGCGAGTGTCAAGTGATTTAATTAAATTCCGCTTTTGTTGTGAATGGGCACCCAGCTATAGAAACTTGTTAGTTGACCATTCCAAGTAGCTTTTCCGTGGATCAATCTTCTTAGGCTCCCATCAGTTTTTCTTGTTAATTCCCCATCAAGAAGCGGAATTTTCGACTCGTTTTCCATTTGAAGAATGAAATTTATTGCTGGATGGCAACATTTAAATGTCTTCTCATTTAAACAGCTAACTATAATTCAGGTGATTTAAATATTCTTATTAAATAAAAGAAATGAATTCGTGTACTTTTCTTAATATATTCTATTCTGTGTGAAAATGCATCTGATTGCTGAAAATGCTAAAAGCCTCTACTCTTATATGATTGGTTGTTAGTAAAAGGCTAATCATAACGCTTAAAAACAACCAAAACTATTATTGGTCATAGTACCTTTCAGTCACTCTTAAAGCTGGTTTCATGAGCTGACGTTTTTTTGCTAAACTACAAATTAACATGATAATTTATCGCCATTAAAATTGAAGAGAAAAATGAAAAGAAAGAGTAAGGGGCTTACTTGACATTAGGAATATGTTTCCGACTTCGAGCAACAGGCTTTACAACAATATCATTTTCTAGAATTTCTCTAGACGCGTCTTTTTCACTTCTAAAAATAGACAGAAATAATTACTATTAAAGTACAGAATGACATAGTTCCTTCTTGACTATGAAAGAATTACTATTTCATCATGTGATTTATTACGAATTAAATATAAGAGAGGAGTTAGTTACTAAGTTAATTAAATTAATCAAAACAAGTGATTCAGCGAAGAGACTCTTTTCAACGAATTTATCATCAAGCTGTACAGTCGTACAGTCAAAGAGGACTTAGCTTCCGATATCATGAAACGAAGGATATCACAGTCCCTGAAAAGAACATTCCCTGCTACCTCTCTGAGAATAGCTTTTACTAGCCGACCATCATTGTTCAATAACCTGAAGGACAAGATCCTAATGTTGACCAACTCTATGTGCGTTTATCAATTCACCTGCTCTTGTGGAGCTAGGTTTATCGGTCGTTCGACTCGAGTTTTGTCCAAGAGGGTGCAAGAACATTATCCTGCATGGCTACGAAAAGGTGGAAGTGGAGCAATAAGAAGCGCGATCATAGAACATCTGGTCGATAATAATCACCCTATCTCTATAGCCTCCGCCTTTAAAGTCATCTACAAGGCAAAGAGCAATCTACCCAAATACCTACGTACCCGACTCATCTGTATTGCTGAAGCTTTGGCTATCGAAACAGAAAAGCCAGATCTGTGTGTACAGAAAAAAGTTCGTTCAACCCCTCCAACTTTCATGGTCTTAATCCCTCTATGCTAAAATATGATAATCCCCAATCATATTTTAGCTCTACCAATTTTTCATTTTGTCTATTCAATTTGTATACTCTTTCTTATTAAGTCAGTCGTTATTATTACTATTCTCACTTTGAACTGTCCCCGGTATTATTTCACTTGTTCCACTTGTCATTCTAAATCAATTTTTTTTACCACGATATATTCTATGCTGTTAAATTTCACACAATATTACGTAACGTTTTTGTTTTATTCGATTTGCCTACTAATCCTATAATTGCACATCCTTTTTCAAGTTCTATCCCTCCTATGAATTATTCTATGTATGACATTAATCTGCTTTGCCACTTGACATTTAACTACGATTATAATCACAAACATTTTAGTTTTAATTGAACTTCATATGATTATTATTATTATTATTTTATGTATTCACACCTAAGATTCAATTCCCTCACCGGATATAACTTCTGATAAACCATATATATACGACTGTACAGCTTGATGATAAATTCGTTTAAAAGAGTCTCTTCGCTGAATCACTTGTTTTGATTTTCTAAATGTTAAAATGGGAATTTTCCATGAATTAAATTAATGTCAAACTAAGAAATGTAATTGTAAATTATTTAAATTAATCCCAGCGTGTTAAGAAAATCAAAACAAGATTTTTCTGTGACATTCGCTCTTCGATAAATTTGATATACCCTGCTTTTGATTCAACAGGATACATTCAACCTACTGACGTAATTCATTAGCTTCATCAGCAGGTAAAAGAGTTAATATAGGTTCCATGATGGGAGCTAATTCTATTGCTGGGATTAATTTAAACAGTTTATAATGACTTCATTTTCAAGCTGTACAGTTGTATTTATATTAGGTTATTAAGTGGCACTAAATAATTGCTCAGTCAATATATATATGATAAGAATAACGATAATTAAAATATTATAAGGGGTAGAGTTGAAGGGGATAAATTACAAAATTAATGAAGATTGTTATATAAGTGAATTGATATCAAAAATGTTTTAAAAATGTCAAGTGTTGTCTAAAAATTTTAAAATTAGGAGTACGATTACGATAAGAATGAAGGTGTGAAGTGAAGTGGAAAGAATTCAAGTGGTAAGCTGGATAGAAGAGAGAATGGAACGCTTCTAAGGTCGATTTACCGTAAGCCAACATTCACTGGGCAGTACACTAACATCAACAGTTGGATACCTTTAGGGAGAAAGAGAAATCTTATTCATTTTATATGCTCTGATCTGCAGAGACAATCGATAGGGAACTAGATAACCTTCGATCAAATCTCCTTAACAATGGTTATCCTACAAGGTTTATTGAACGTAACATCAAGAAAGAATCCGCCCCTAGACAAATCACAGTGCCAAAGAAAAAACTGTTTATGAGTTTGGCATTCAAAGGTGACACCATTTCTGAATTGATTAAAAATCGTTTATCTAAATGTGTTAAACGCACTTTTCCTGCAGCTAACCTACAACTAGTTTTTACCAGCCGAAATATGATTAGACAATGCGTCAAGGATAGATTACCGCTTTTGTCCACATCTATGTGTATTTAATCTTTTACCTGCTCTGGTGGACATTGTAAGCGTAATCTCCGAAAACGTGTAGCTGAACACTATCCGGTTTGGTTAATGAAAGGCGAACGTAGAACTGCGAAGTCGTCTATTTGGGATCACCTGTTAGAGTCTGGTCATTTAGCCCCACGTGATTCATCTTTCAAAGTTATCTGCACGGCAACTAGAATCGATCCAAAAGTTTACGTTTTCTTCATTCATGCATGGCCGAAGATTTAGCTATACACGAACAGAAACCTAAATTATATGTTCAAAAACGTTTTGTCAAACCCCTTTCTTGTTCTTTGTAGTTTTTATTTTGTTTTGTTTTACCTGTCTGTCTGTCTGTTTTCGACATAGAACTTTGCACAAATGTGCGGAAGTTCAAGTCGCCACATTCCGTGTAGCACGCGAAGCAAGAGAAGAAAGTACAAGAAAAGCATAATAGAAACAGTGAGCAGAGGTGTGAGACAAAGGAGTAATAAAGAAATACAAAACAGTTTCATTGAAGATCATAAGTCACAGGGAGTGGATGCATCTGCGCCACTGAGAACGATTTTGAGCCATGTCACCAATTGTTTCCAACCATAGATTTTTACCGTCCCGAGGACCCCAGCCTGGAAGTCTACACCTTCCTACGTGGCTTAGACCAACTGTTGTGGATTTCATTGACTGATGCCAAGTTTTTGTTTGACCGCCGCTAGCTTTTTTCCAGCCTGACCCTATATCCGCTAACATTGCTCGTCGAGGGAGGCGATGGCTTGGCATACGTAACACATGTCCTAACCATCTCAGTCTTTGTAGCTTCACGACTTCGTCGATTGATTTCCCCTGTTTACCTAGAACTCTACGCCTAACCTCCATGTTGCTCACCTTATTATGCCACTTTACACGGGAAATAGAACGCAGGCACCTATGATCAAAGACAGCTAGTCTTTTCATGTCTTCCACTCTCAGTGGCCAGGTCTCACAACCATAAAGGAGGACGGAGCGGACTGATGAGCAGTACACCCGCCCTTTGGTCGATAGTCGAACATCTCGTCTACGCCAGAGTCGGCGTAAACTAACAAATGCGAAACGAGCCCCTTGTATTCGTGCTGAGATTTCGTCAGAGATCAGCCCGTTGGGGCTGATGGTACTTCCCAAATAAGTGAAGCGGTCAACGTGCTCTACCACTTCACTTCCTATTTTTAAACTAGGCGTCGATGTAGTCCAGTCCTGTAACATCATCTTGCATTTGGCGGGAGCGAATCGCATGCCAAACATTCGTAGATTGCGGCTCAAGGTGTTTAGAAGACTCTGCATTTCGTCAGCGTCTTCGCCTAGAAGGACTATATCGTCTGCATATTCCAAGTCAACGAGATTATTCCCCGGTAGCAAGTCAATCCCTGAGTCGCTGAAGTCACCTAGGGTTAAGTCCATTAACACATCTATGATGAAGTTGAATAGAAAAGGAGATAATGGGCATCCTTGACGGACACCACTGGTCGTCATCAGTTCAGATGACAGCTCGCCGTAAGCCCTCACCTGGCTGTATGAGTACGAATAGAGTGCCTTAATCAGTGCAATATATTTTCTCGGAATTCCCTTTACAGCCAAGCATCTCCAGAGAACTTCCCGATCGACAGAGTCGAATGCTGCCTTTAGGTCAAGAAATATAATGACTGTTGGACGCCGGTAGGAATGCCTATGTTCTAGAATCTGTCGGAGGGTGAAGATATGATCAATACACCCTCTTCCTGGTCTAAAGCCTGCCTGGCTCTCTCGTGTTTGTGCTTCCCGAGCACCACTCAGTCTACGCATGATTATTGAGCCTAAGACTTTAGATACTATATTAGTCAAGCTAATCCCTCTGTGATTATCACAGGAAGACTTGTCTCCCTTCTTGTATATGGGGATAATCAGTGACTTACACCAACCCGATGGGACTTCTTCTGATTCCCAGACGCTGCCTAGTACCTCAGTTAATCCGGACAGTAAGCTGTCTCCACCGTACTTAAATACCTCTGGAGTCATTCCATCAGGTCCCGCTGCTTTGCCTAGTTTCAGATTGGTGACAGCTTTAGTAACCTCAGTTAGTGACGGAGGACCTGTGTCTATATCCCATTCAGGGAGGTGTTGGATGCTCGGAAGGTTGAGCGTGGCTGTGGGCAAATTAAACTGCTCCTCATAATGCTCTTTCCAACGATCCAGTCGTCTATCCTGGAGCTAATTATAGTGCCATTTTTTTCCGAGATTGTCTCACTAATGATTTGTCTTCTCCCACCCGTTTCCCTGATGAGTCCAAAGAGTTGCCTGGTGTTGCCTATCCTCAAGCTTTCTCCATCTCTTTGGCTTTTGTCGCCCACCACTGTTCACGGTCCTTGCGGAGACTTTTCGTAAGTTTCCTCTTGTGCAGCTTTCGCTCCTCATTGAATTCGGAGCTCGCCGGAATAAGTCTTCTAGCATCTATCAGTTCGGATGAGGCGGTGGAGATCCAGTGGTTTTTACTCACCTTTGGGTTTACCTTATTCACAGCTTTTACAGCTGTATCTATGGCTGCCTGGATATTTTTCCAAGCTTCTTCAGGGTGAGCACAGCTGTCGAACACAGATATGTGTTTAGCTAGTTCTTCCTCAAATACGGATTTAGTTTCCTGATCGAGCTGGGGACGTGATGGTTTTACCGCCAGCTGTTTCCTACGTCCGTTCAGTCGTAAGCACACCCGAGCGCGGACCAGTGCATGGTCGGTATCTA